TCTGTATGACGTAGGGCTGGGCAATATATCAATATATCGTCCAAAATCTGTCTGAAGTCCATATTGTGAGATTGGCTTCATAATTTTTGACCTGGCAATATAGTGCAAATCATTGTGCGTGCGCTATGCCAAAATCACAATTTGGGGAAAACAGTGAAGCCAGTCAATGTGTCTCTCGTTTCCTGCAGCCCCTGTTAACTCTGCCATCTCGGCTCTCCCCTGCTTCATGCAGAGGGCAGCAAATCAAAAGAGCAGGTGCCGATTATGATGCAGGAAAAAGTGTGAAGCCAGCCAGTGCCTCTACATAGTTGCATCCTTATTTCAGACATCATGATATATTGGTATATTGTGATGTTTAAAGGTATAGGGACCCCTGACCATTAGGTCCAGTCGTGGCTGACTCTGGGGTTGCGGCGCTCATCTCGCTTTATTGGCCGAGGGAGCCTGCATACAGCTTCCGGGTCATGTGGCCAGCATGACTAAGCCACTTCTGGCAAACCAGAGCAGCGCACGGAAACGCCATTTACCTTTCTGCCGGAGCGGTACCTATTTATCTACTTGCACTTTGACGTGCTTTCAAACCGCTAGGTTGGCAGGGTGATGTTTAGCTGATGATATACCACGATGTTGAAAACCAAATATCACCCAGCCTAGTATGAGGTGTGCTGCTCAAAGACTGTAGTCAGGTGGTTCTTGATTGGCTCAATAATACTAACAACTCTTGCTACGGTATAGGAGGCTAACACGTTGTGGTGACCATCCCTGTTGCCAGTTAAAAGGGGCAATCCTATTTCTTCCCAGTGTAGGGCACCTTTCCACACACATCATAGCGTGCTGTTGAACTTTTGGAGTCCTACTCTTTCTTCTTCTTTTGTGTTTGTACACAAGCCACAGTTGCTGAGGTTGCATGTAACCCTAAACTGGTCAGGCATGAGCAGGAAGGACCTGCTGCAAGCCTTGCCACCTTGCATTTATATGTTGATAGGTGGTTGGTAGTTAACCCATTCATATAATTAATGTTGTGAGTGAGATTCTGAATGACCATTCTGATCTGTGTCTTCGTTTGATTTATGGAGACAGAAAATAATCTCTCCGCACCACCTTGCCTTCTCCATGGCAGCACAAATGGGAGAAAATGCCAGAGTATTAGAGGAAGGGGTTGGTAGTAAATGCTGGAAACAAGATGGCTTGTGGTGAAGTTTGGAGGCTGGAAGTTAGTGCAGGTGAAGCTCTGGCTTCTTGTTGCCTTCGACTGCAATGCAAAGAGTTTGTTGGAGGCTGCTGGTGAATGAAACTGCGAAAGCCTAGGCAATTACATAGCCATTTACGTCAAGAGAGGACATGCTTCAGACTTCTGGTTCTGCTGTTTGTTTGTTTTTTACTAGCACCCTGAGATCTACCAACCAGAGCCAGGTGCAAAAGACATACACGTGTAATTAAAGAATGCTGAGCCCAGGAATTAGTTTTAATTAGCCAAACTTCAACTGAGCTCACTGTTTGTCCTCACAAAACCACTCCTGGTTAACTCTCCTCCCTCAATCCCAGGTATCTTTCATTTTCAGCAGTATAATTTGGGAGTGGGGACTTTCTTTGTTGTCGCCATAATCAAGAGTCAGAAATTCTTGCTGATCTACTTCATGTAATCTCTACCAGTAAATCCCACTTTCTGAGCACAGTGGTACCTCGGGTTACAGACGCTTCAGGTTACAGAATAGTACCTTGAGTTAAGAACTTTGCTTCAGGATGAGAACAGAAATTGTACTCCGGCGGTGCAGCAGCAGCGGGAGGCCCCATTAGCTAACGTGGTACCTCAGGTTAAGAACGGACTTCCAGAACCCTGGAAGTTCTTAACCTGAGGTACCACTGTACCTCTGCTTTCCATTGTTGACGCAACAATTATATTGATTGGGTTTTAATTCCTGATGTATGATTTGCATACTCTATAATCAAAATAAATGTCTACTGAAAAAAGTTTAAGAGTATTCTGTCAGAGAGAAAGATCTTCCTTCTCTTAGGCAAATGAAGCAGTTAATTTCTCAGTGTCCCGTACCTGCACAATGATCTTTCCCCTCTTTGTTATTTTCCTCCCCACAATTTCAAATGATGTTTGATGGATTTTTTTGTAGCAGCTGTGGTACTAATTTCTTGTGGAAATCAAGCCCCTCCAGAAGCCATCTGGATTTGGTGATAGGGAACAGTTATATCTATATATAGGGAAATGTTTTAATAATTGCTTAAGTTCCATCTTTGAGTAGGCAAAGAAAGCACATTTGATTTCTTCTCTCAAGACTTTTCTGGCTCTTGCAATCCTACCTGCCTGAATCCCACCTGTATTTGTTGATCAGGCCTGAATTCACTTCTATATTTAGCCATGATCTCTCCAGTACAGCATACCATCCTGCTTTCTTACAGTATGACTTACTACCCATTTAGAGGCAGAACACATTCCTAATTCATGAAATATATGATGTCTAAAATTACATTGGCTTCATTTTACTGACATATTACATTGCAGGTTCATCGTTTATTCTATGGTATTACTTGCTCATCAGTCACTGTTACAGAATATGATATTGAATCTATGATTGCAGCCTTCCATAAAGTATAAAGCAAATAAAAATAGATGAGTGTATTTCATCCAAAGTGTAAAGTGCACAACAACCTGATACTCCATGTTTACTGAGAAGTGAGTCCCATTGACTCATGCCGAGTTCTCAAATTAAGAGTGCATAGGATTACATGCTTGCTCAGAAATCCCCCTGAATTTACAGTGACTCACAGCACGATCCAAGGCATGTTTACTCAGAAGACTCATTACGCCCAGGTAATGTAATGCCCCAATCCTATACATGTGGCCATTGAATATGACAGGCTTTGTTTTGAGTAGACATGCAGAGGATTACAGGCAAAGTGTCATCAACTTCTGTTGGGAAAAGTTTAGCAGATGCTTAAGTCTTTCAGTAAAACTTGTGAGACTCAAGAGGTACAGTGGTACCTTGGGTTAAGAACTCAATTCGTTCCGGAGGTCCATTTTTAACCTGAAACTGTTCTTAACACGAGGTACCACTTTAGCTAATAGGGCTTCCCGCTGCCGCCACTGCACAATTTCTGTTCTCATCCTGAAGCAAAGTTCTTAACCCGAGGTACTATTTCTGGGTTAGCGGAATCTGTAACCTGAAGCATCTGTAACCTGAGGTACCACTGTACTTCATTTTTAAATTTCAGCATAGGTACATGGTGTTGCAGTGAAAATCATCTCTAGTGAACTGTTATAAAATACAATATAGTGTAGAACAATTGCTTGTAAGATAAATTGTTGGGAAGGTCTTATCAAGAATGCCCTCCAAAGAAGTAAACTGTGATTAAAGCCTTCCAAGGCAGTCCTAGAGACTGGTTCTCTTGAGGTCAGCAAAGTGGGAAGCCATGCATTGCTGACCATCTTGGGCCTGTGCTGTAGGCAGAGCCTTTGTTCCCAAGTGTCATGTTGAATATTACCATAAAAGTTGATAGATACGATAGTTTTTACATTTAGCATTATAGCTAATTTCACTTCTGGTGTACTTAATGTGACAAGGTAGTTGGTGGGAATCAAGATCTGGTGAGTTGGGCTGGATCCTGAGGCTTGAAAGGCAGCCCTGGTTGTAGGGAAGTTGTTTAATGGCCTGGTTTCTATTGCCTTATTATTATTATTATTATTATTATTATTATTATTATTATTATTATCATCATCATTATTCTGTTGGATATATACTACTATTATTATATATTTTATGTGACTCAACTGCAAAGGAAGCAAATTGGGTAGTTCACTCTTTAAATGTTGCTCCTAAAATTCTTCCTTTAACTACATCTTGACGTTCAAAGTGCAGCTTTGAAGTTTTCTGGACTTGATGTCAGTATATACATAGGAACGGAGGTGTGTGTGTCTTGCTGCAAAACACATGGAGCCCAACCCACGAGAAGGCACACTTGTTTCATGAAAAAAATCTCGAGGCACACCACCATTAGAAAATGTTAAAAAATTTAACTCTGTGCCTATATTGACTACCATATTTTTCGCCCCATAGGACGCACCACCCCATAAGACGCACCTAATTTTTTGGGGGGAGAATAAAGAAAAAAAAATTTTCCCCTCCCCAGGCACGGGGCAGGCGCAGGGGAAACCCAAGCTTCCCCCGACCCCAGCCCCCAGAACAGCCTGATATCCGCAAGCCTAGGGAGCCACACTGGTCTCCCCAGGCTTGCGGAGAGGTGCGTGAAGCCCGGGGGCGCTCTTCAGCGCGCACCAGGCTTCGGGATGCAGGCAGCTCTGCACTACCCTCCAGAGCCCCGTGCGGCTTCGCGCTGGGATCCGGGGGTGGCGCGGAGCTGCAAGAAGCCCTGGAGCGCAGGCAGCTTCGCACCACCCTCCGCAGCCCCGCGCGGCTTCGCGCCGGGATGGGGGGGGTGGCGCGGAGCTGCAAGAAGCCCTGGAGCGCAGGCAGCTCCGTGCCACCCTCCGCAGCCCCGCGCGGCTTCGCACCGGGATCCGGGGGTGGCGCGGAGCTGCAAGAAGCCCTGGAGCGCGGGCAGCTCCGCGCCACCCTCCGCAGCCTCCTACGGAGGGCGCCCCGTGCTCCGCGCTGCTGGCTGCCGCCCGCAAGCCGTGCACGCGGGGGGAGTTCCCCTGGGCGCGCAAGGCTTGCGGACAGCTGCGCGAAGCACGGGGCGTCCTCCAAAGGGCGCCCCGCGCTCCGCGCTGCAGGTTCCCGCCCCCCGCCCCGCTTCGGAGCACCGGGAGAAGCGATCTCCCCGCAGCCCTTGCTTCAAAAGAGGTCCGGGGGCAGCGCGAAGCGCTTCCCGCTGTCCCCGGACCTCTTTTGAAGCAAGGGGCGGTGGGGAGAAGCGATCTCGGGCGCCGCGCCGCCCCGCCTCTTCCGCCTCCCTCCCACGGCACACCAGGCAAGGTCTCACGGCACACTGGTGTGCCGCGGAACACCGGTTGGGAAACACTGCAATAAGGTCCATGCACCAGAGTTTCCCTGCTACTGATGTAAAGGAAACACACCTGGCTTGTCAAATAATTGAGCTGCGCTTTCTCTTCTTGCAAAGGTAGCAATGCCAGTGGAAAGAATGCGAATGCGGCCGTGGCTGGAGGAACAAATAAATTCAAACAAAATACCGGGTTTGAAATGGCTAAACGAGGTAAGGCATGCCTGTGTTTTTAAACATTATTATGGGCCCATGAGGTGATACAAAAACAAGGAAAGCACCAGTTAAAACCAAACCATTGTTTAAACAAAACTAAGGAATGGAATTAAAAACCCATCAAAAGCCAGGTGAAATAAAACATTTTTATAGCCTGCATGAATCTAAGCAAAGGGAGAACCAACCTGATCAATAAAGTAGACAGTTGATACATGGTACATTCATAATGCCACAGAGTGATTTGATGCTAGAGGAATTAGTCCAGCATTAGCATTCATCAAACTCTAATTTGAGTGTAACCAAAATTGGAATGAGTGTAACCCAAAACTGTGGTTTGCTGCAGGGTGGATTTGATTTAAATTGAATCGATTTAAATCACTAGTCAGCAAGACTTGATTTAAATCATTATTATTTTTACAGAAAGACCCATTCTTGCATAAATTTTCAGAGTAGTTTTTACAGTTATCAAAAATTACTGACTTGGTTATACTATTAGAAATACATAGACAGATAATTATGAAATTATTGTGAGGTTTAATAAGTTAACTCTTTATATTTGGACAACTTTTCTGCTGTACTTTATTGGAAGGAGAAAAATAATCATAAGTAACAGTTTAAACAATTTATTTAACTAAAACAATAACATTATAGCATATGTATCCATGTTTGTTAACTGATGTGTATAAACAAAACTTAGACTGAGTTTTAGCACGCATGAAAAACTTAAAACAAATTCTTATTTCCTGATAAATAGCCTTTGGACTATAATGTAACTTAGATAGAAAATTATCTTTAGAAATATTTTTCCTCCAAAAGCATTTTATTTTAAAAATCCGATTTAAATCAAAACAATCCGATTTAAATAAAAGAAACTTTTTATTATTATTATTATTTAAAAATTATTGCTTTTTATCCACCCTGGTTAGCTGTATACCAGGAAGTAAATACAGTGGTACCTCGCAAGACGAATGCCTCGCAAGACAAAAAACTTGCTAGACGAAAGGGTTTTTTGAGCTGCTTCGCAAGACGATTTTCCCTATGGGCTTGCTTCGCAAGACGGAAACGTCTTGCAAGTTTGTTTCCTTTTTCTTAACACTGTTAATACAGTTGTGACTTGACTTCGAGGAGCAACTCATAGAACGCGGTGTGGTAGCCTTTTTTGAGGTTTTTAAAGACTTTGGTGATTTTTGAAGCTTTTCCAAAACTTTCCCGACACCGTGCTTCGCAAGACGAAAAAATCGCAAGACAAGAAAACTCGCGGAACGAATTAATTTCGTCTTGCGAGGCACCACTGTAATTATGTGGCATATGCAAGTGAAAAGTAGTGAGCATGTTAGGACAGGGCTCAATGCCATATGACAGACATCGCCAACGTGTCAATTGCGCAGTGGATTTTTGTTGATCATGACCCGCCACCCTCTCCCATGGCCACCGGGCGCCCTCAGCATGCGCTCAGCCGCAGCTGGAGCGACTGAGGCTCCACTTAGCCAGGCTTGCTCACTGCTGCCGCAGCAAGTGCTCTGGCTAGTGCCGGCGCCGCCTCCGCCTTGCAGCTGCCTCAAGCACCCTGCTCCGGCCACCGGCTTTGCCCAACGCCCAGTCAGCTGGCCGGCCCGAAAAGGTGTGAGGCCTGCCACCACCCCCTTGCAAGCCTCTGCCCCGGGGCAGGAAGGCAAAGACAAGGTGTGCGGGCTCCGCACGGACTGCAGTGCTGCAGAGGGAGCCACGGGAAGGGCGGTGTGAAAGAGAGACAATGACATCCCTCTTCCCTCTCCCACCGGTTCCTGTGGAAAGAAAACACCCTCTCCCTCCTAGTTCTGCATGGATGCTGAACTTTCCTCACCTTTCCAGCTCCAGTCTAGCTGCATTTACTGAAAAGTAAGCCGCTGCCCCCCCCCCGAGCTCTTCCTCTGGTAAAGGGGGAATTGGACATTTGGGGCCATGTTGGCTTCCCATGTGCACCAAGGGCCCTGGGAGGGGGCTGGTGTGGGGGTAATAATTTGTTATTATTTTTATCATCATCATCATGATTTATTATTTATACCCCGCCCATCTGGCTGGGTTTCCCCAGCCAAATATAATATGTTTAAGTTGAAGAATGACAATGGGAGAGTGTGGTAGATCACTGTTAGTTTTTGATATTGGATAGTAGAACGCAGCCTAATGGAAGCTGGACATGCATGACATGTGAAGCAACCCATACTATTTTGGTTTCTATATTCATGGTTTTCTGGGAAATGTTATAGCCTGCCTTATTCCATGAACTCTGAGCCAGTTTTAGTCATTTCCCAAATGTACATTTCTGTTCCCAGGGGTTCCACACTCTTAAGTAATTCAAGTAATCAAAAGGCTTAGGATAAGAGGTCAATGAAATTAGAAATGTTTGCCTGAAATCACGGTAATGCACATCCAATATTACCTCAATTAGTTCACAGCTTTAAGTCACAAGGAGGCACCTGAATATTTTGCAGCATTTAGTAATTTTGCTTAGTCTCAGTAAAATCAAACAACTTTGACTTTCATTCCATGCAGAACATTATTGAGCCAGAAAGTGAGAAAGCAGTGGAAAATAGGTGCAGGTTGTACAAATGCTACCTGTTTTATAAAGTAAGAAAGTTTAAGACTTCTGTATCTGCATGTTGATAATTGTGGTTGTTTCCTACTTGTTTTTCTGTTCCAGGAAAAAATGATTTTTCAGATTCCCTGGATGCACGCAGCACGCCATGGGTGGGATGTTGAAAAAGATGCTCCTTTATTTAGGAACTGGGCTATTCACACAGGTAAGAGGAGCTCAGGTTTATTGGGGCACGTTTAATTGTGGAGGTTTTATCTCTTCTTTCAGCGTTGTAGTGTTCCATTTTGCTTTTCCACATTTTCACCTTTCCCCAAGTGTCCCAGCTGTAGTGCAGTGAGCAGGTGGGGCTCTTGCAGCTACGAGGATATAGCTGCAGCTATTTAATCATCTGGGGGAAGCAGATCCACACATGCATCCTTTTGCCTCTTTGAAGCTGCCCCCTCCTTTCCTGTATACGTGGCAGGGTCATAATGTCTATCAGAGGCGTCTGTGCCTGGAACTCATTGCTGATTTGATGGGCCAAATGCAGAGAGATTTGGAGTATACTTGAGCAAGCAGCTGCTGTGTGTGTGTTACAGGGTGTCCAGAACTTCTCGGTCTGATTGTAAGGGTCCCTGAATATGAAGGGTCCCCAATTTATAAAAAGCAACACTCTAGAGGTCCCGGGCCCTAAGAAAGTCAGATTAGCCTCAACCAGGGTCCAGGGCTTTTTCAACACTGGTTCCGGCCTGGTGGAACGCTCTGTCTCATGAGACCAGGGCCCTGCGGGATCTGATTTCTTTCTGCAGGGCCTGTAAGACAGAGTTGTTCCACCTGGCCTTTGGCTTGGAATCAGCCTGATCCCTCCCCCTCTTTCCTTTTCCTTCTGTGATGGAACCCCTGTTTGGGGACTTCCCTGGCTTTTTTTCTGGCCCGTGTAGGACCAGTCTGGATAGTTGGCCTTGGTGAAGATTTGACTCCCCACAAACAGTTTTTGATCTGGGCTTCCACTGAAATGAGGCTTGCATTTAAGTTGTATTTTAATCCTGTTTTTAAGTTGTATTTTAATCAGTTTGTTTTATACCTGATGTTAGCCGCCCTGAGCCTGATCTTGGCCAGGGAGGGCGGGGCATAAATAAAATTTATTATCATCATCATCATTATTTATTAGCATAAGGTGTATCATACCACGAATCCCATTTTCTTTCTTTGTTAGGGAAGTTCCAGCCAGGAGTTGATAAACCAGACCCAAAGACATGGAAGGCAAACTTTCGATGTGCTATGAACTCCTTACCTGATATTGAAGAAGTCAAGGACAAAAGCATAAAGAAAGGAAACAATGCCTTCCGAGTATACCGGATGCTGCCGTTATCTGAGAGGCCTTCAAAGAAAGGTAAAGGAGAGGAACATTGCGGATATTCTGGAGATCGAGAGAGCCATGCTGATAGTGGGCTGCTTCCTACATTAGTCTAATTGTCTCCTTTATAGTAGGCACACTTGGTCTTTAACATCCCCACTAATATAATAAATTGTGCAATGTCTTCACTTCTGTGCCTCACAAAAAGAGCAAACGTTCAACCAAATAAAAACGCTTCTTAATACAAGAGAAATATACTATACAAAATAACACACACTGGGCAAGATTACCTGGTTGGCACAAGGACTGTGTATATCTGCCTGTCGTGTGTCAGGTCAGGCAAGATACTCACAGGGATGAGAAGACAAAAGATGTAGCAGTACTCCATGGTTTTAGGAGCAACTAGTTTTTCCTTGAATTCCAAATTTAGTGGGGCATCTTGCTCCTCACCCCAGTTGATGGTTTTGCAGGTAAGCTGCAGGCACTACTGCTGTCCAAGTTTCCTTAATTTCATTACGGTTCGAATTAGGGTAGTCTAGGCCATTTCAAGTACCACACGTAAATTATAATTATGATCAACATTGAGTCCCAGTGGACTTTCCAAGTTGGAGTACGTTGGCGGCTAGGCAGAATTTGGGTCCAGTCTTAACCAGGAAATGATTGTAAAACAATAATGAATCCTTACATTTCTACAGGAAAGAAACCAAGGAAGACAAAATGAAAAACAATTAAGGTAAATATCTCATCATTTCATAGACAAATTACGGTTGATGATTGAAGATGAATGGAGATTCATGACACAGTGTCTGCCAACCTATGAAGAAATTGGGCTTTACTGGTTGGTCCATGTGGGTTTTATGGGGTTACCTGAGATTCCAGCAAGCATTTATCCCTACTTCTTTCAGCCTATGTTCACACACAGGCTAAGGGATAGACAATTGCTTTAAAAAGAAGGAATGCTGAAAAACTTTTGTGCAAACTACCATTACTGCACTTTTTTGTATTCTCATGTAATCAGCTGAAACAAAGCCTTATATCACGTACTAGAATGAGAGATTCCCTCAGTTGATGGGCATTTAATTTTATTTCTTACCCTTCTCCATCCAAATGGAACAGAAGAAGCTGTCCAAAATCTTACAACTGAAACAAACAAAAACCGAAACGCAAATGTTCTGTCTGAATTGGGGGCCTCCAATCCTTAATACACTTGTAACCAACAGGACAGGTCTTGTAAAAGGGCATTTCCTGCCTGCTTTCTGTCTCTTGCTCTCTGGTGGCATGGATTTTTCCAAACAGAACATGTAGCTGCTGGGAAAACTACATTTTTGTGGACTGCAAAGTTCAGGTTGCTTTTCGTCAAGGAACTAAGAGGGACGTGTTTTACTTAGTGACAGGCTCCTTCACGAATTATCATGCATTCTCTGCTCATAACACTAAATGCACTTGGAAAGCTTACAATGACATATTTAATAGGAATAAATGTTTCAGGCAGTGCCCTCACCTTGCAACTCTGTAATGTTTAATTTTTCATTACAAACCATGCATTAACTTTCTTGGAAGGCACCTTGTGAATTTCACACTTTGCTTTATGTATGAAAAGGACTGGGAAAGGTTGCTGTTCAGTCTGATCTTGGGAAGCTTAAACGGCCATTTGGCTTTCATTTAGGCCTACCATCATGGCTGAGAGAGGGTGTGTCAGGGACAAAGGGTAGGGAAAGGTTAACGAAGGATAGTCAGGAGATAGCTCTTCTGTATACGCAACAATCTTAACACATTCCATTTTTTAATTTTATTTTTCAGCAAGAACCAGAGATCGTCGTATGAACTGAGTAATGGAACATGCCCAGGGGTTTCTGATTACTGCTTATCTCCAGCAATAAAAGCTGAAGTCGACAGCACAATAAACATTGTAGGTAAGTCGCCCCAGCACATTCCTTTTCGTATCTGGTAAACTCTTACTGCACTAACTGTAGCCTTTAAAGTTCAGTTTCACTATACGGTTGGTAACACGGCGGAATTACAGCAACAGGAGTTTGTATTTTGATGTGCCTAATAATATTTTGCTTTATTTGAGAACTCTTAAGAACAAATGTGGACATGAAATTTAATGGTTTATTTAGCTCGAGTGGGTCTCAGTAGTAATCCTTGTCACCAGTGAAAAAACACTACAGGAACTTTGACAGTACTTTTCAGCTAAAGTAGGAATCCAGCATCGTACCACCCTAACAAGGTGACAGGGAAGGAGATGAAATAGAATAATTTTTGTGGCTAGACAGTCATTTTCCATGTTAATCTAAGAAACAGGTAATACTTTTCATCATGAATGAAAGTTCATTTTAATTATATTATATTTCATATCAAGGGAAGATTCGCACACACACACACACACACACACCACACACACACACCGGCTAATTAAACTGATGCACTTATTTGAATGTTCTGGTATATACATGATGCTGCCCCAGCAAACCAGGTTTGCAATCAGGAATTTGGCTTCCCCCTCTTCTCATAGTCAAACCTTCCATCTGATTCTAACCAAGTCCCTCTTAACCATTGTCTTCAAACTCTGGTTTCACATGTCAGTTGAGATGGAACTTAAGTTTAAGCCTCTACATAGTGTACTAATCTCCAGCCATTATGAAGTTACGGTCCATAACACTGCTTTTTGCTTGACTGTAATGTAAGCTCTTTATTAATGCAGGCACGGGTAATCATCACAATTCTCTCTTGTTATCATGCAAAGTTGTAGGAGATGCGCATTTTGAGTGTGGTTCTGAGGATCATATGATAGTTCCCAATCCACCTGATGTTTGCCAAGTAGTGGAAGTGACAACAGAATGTGATGACCAACCCAGCAGTGTGAGTCAGTTGTATCCACTACAGATCTCCCCAGTCTCCTCCTATGCAGGTAAGAAACATTGCACTCGCAAAAGAACTTGGGTCTTGGTTTCAGTCAGTGCCATGTTTTAACTTTTGGTAGGTAGGTGCTTTTCTTTTCTATTTTAGAATAGTTGTCAGATTCTTTTAGTGCTTGGGTTCTGCTAAACACAGGTATTATTTCTTCTGAGAAACAAAAGACCTAATCCTGCTGTAATACACAGAAACGAAATACCTATTAAAATTACCCTTTACAAATATGTTCAGTAAACTGCACTCTGTGTGCAAAAATTATCTTTTTAGCGGTTCTTGTTTTTATCTGTAAGCCGCCTTGAGTCCCTCTCATGGGGAAAGGCAGGGTCGTTTAACCACATCGTTTAACACATAGTTAACAAACATGGATACATGTGCTATAATGTTATTGTTTTAGTTAAATAAATGGTTTAAATTG